ATTTTGTGGCACAGCAATTGTAACACAGCGAGTCAAAGGATGTGAGAAACGTGCCCTGTGTTACTTATTTGGGAGCTGAAAATTTATGCCTAGCTGAAAGTGCCCGGGGAAATATTACATCAGACGAAATGACAATGATTAAAATCAGCTTTTTTTTTTTTCTCCCTCTCCTCTCCTCTCTCTCTCTCCTGCCTTCCCTTCGTTTGCCTGCCTCGTCTGCTGACAACGTGACAGTAGCCCGGTGATAGGCGAACCGTTATCCTTGGCACAGCTGCTGCTGGCACCGGGGCACCGTCAGAGGAAGAGAGGGGGGTGGGGGGGGAGCAGAGCCGGGCCAGTTAATTGGAGCTAATCCTTTGCCCTGGAGGCGTTTTGGGAGCCCAGAGCTAGGAGTGTGGACGGTGTGCTGTGCTCCTCCTCTTCCAGCACAGCTTCTGCCTGCTCTCTGCCCGGGTCTTGGGGGGGAGACAGCCTGAAGAAGGGGGCGCACAGGAGACAGGGGGCACTCTACCAGGGAAAGGACGCTGCACAAGAGGGCAAGAGCTGGAGGTGGAGAAAAGACCTGGCCAGGATCAAGGTAAGAGGGGAAGGGGGCAGCTCCATCCTGCTTGCTTGCTTCTGCAAAGTGACTTAGAAGTGAAGGAGAGGGGGCAAACCTGTGCCCAGCTCCTGCGTGTGCCCTTCCTGATGAGGGTGGCTTGGCACTGGGTGAAGTCGGGTATCATCTGCTGCTGCTGTAACATCCTTCCCTGATCCCAGGGGAGGAGGGAGGGTGGGCTCTGCTGCAGACTGTAGGGAAAGGGACCCCCTGAATGCTGCAGGGGTGACATCAGTGGCATTGTCTGATGCCCATGCCATCCTAGGCGGCGTGCACCCACAGCAAGCTGAGTGTAGAGCCTGCAGTGCCAGCCTGAACATACATTGTGTTCTTGCAGTCCTTTCTCTACACAAAGTGTGCTGGGGAGCTGTGCATGTACTCCTCCACTGAGGGTCTCTGTGTGGAAAGTGGATTTGGGAACAGTTGGGGGAATTGTCTGCTCACCGTTGTTTATTTCGGATGGGAGGACACAGTGGCTGGGTGCTGGGAGTTTATACACACTTCTAGTCATCCAAAACTTTCCTGCAAATCCTCATGGCTCTGCAGGAGTCACTGTGTGTCCAATGCTTGCCATTCGGAGGGTGGAAAGGGTGTAGGGGCATCTGATGGTTTTACCGTGGTCCTTGGATGGTTGGATGGATAGATACATATATATTCTTGTTTTTTTCTTGTTTTTTTTTTTTTTATTATTAAGGGCTCAACTGAAGTTTCTAATGACTAAAATTTACCTAATCTGGACAATTGTTTTATCACATATTGATGTTAATGTGTCATTCATTAGATATTTGTAGACAATACGTTACTAGGCAATTTACAAAAAAAAGAAAAAAGTGTGTATTTGATTCCTTTAGCCAGCCCTACAGAGCGGCATTCAGGGGTCTCCTGTGCTGGAATGAAACTTGTGCCCATTAGGTAAACTCCCCTTCTATATCCAGATATAATAGTGTACTGACTGGCACTGCATGTGTATGGGCATAGCTAACACCAACCAGAAATAGAATCACTCACTCATTCTCCATTTTGTGTGATTTTGCTAAACGGCAGTCAAATTAGGAGCTTTGCAGCCGTACATTCCGCAAGCGTGCTGGGTCACCCCTCATCCCAGGGTTCCTGAGATATCTCCTTTAGCTTCCTGAAAGTTTGCCTGGTAGCGTGGAGGTTAACTTGCCTTCATGGTCTCTGATTATAATATCCTTTGCAGGCGTGACATTTGCATAATGTAGCTGTACATCAACAAGCAGCCTTAGTTACCAAGGCCCCGAGCCATATGCAGAGGTGGGAAAAGCTCATACACCCAAAACTTCTTGCACCTTTTTAAGACCTCTATTTTTTTTTTAAGTAGAATGTGAATAGCTGATCCTTGTGTGTGTATATGAAACAAGGAGTATCCCTGTAGGCTTTTGTGCAGTGCAGGCAACACCCTGGAATATACTCTTCAGCATTCTCTGCTCCAGGCAAAGTGCCTAGGGCGGCCGGCTTGAATGAAGCGCTCAGTAAAAAAAAAAAAATTCTGCCATTCTGTTTACCTTTTATGGTTAAAATAACAGCTTAGCAGAGAGGCAACTTCACGGAGAAACGATTTTCTTCAAATCGACTCAGGCGGCAGGCGAGCTAGTTTAATCACCCCTAGAGAGCTGAACAACTGTGAGCACAATGGGACACAGAATCATTTTGTGTGTAAATGAGCATGGCATCCTGATTACTTCACTTTACATGGGCAAATAGCTTTTACAAGCAACATTTGTGCAGTTAGTCGTCAGAGGCAGGGGGAAGATAATCTGCCTTTTCAAAGAACTTGATGTGCTGTTCTGGAGGAAGGGGTGGAGGGGGGGAAGCAATGAAAAAAAAAAGACATTTCCCAGATAATTTGAAAGCCTGGCGGTATTGGTTTTGCCTACAGCAAAATAAGCCATCACCCAATACCCCCATGTAGCAAGGCCACCCTCCCCTTTTGTAGGCAATTAAAAGCATTGGTTCTTTGAAGAACACTGACTAGTATAATGGTTTTTAACCCTAGGTTATGGTAGCAAAGTTGTAATCACAGACCAAAGCCATGAGGAGTAGACCAAAGCCATGGGGCTACACTAAAGCCATGAGAACTGAACCAAAGCCTTGAGGTCTAGACCCCTGCCTTGAGAGCTAGACCAAAGCCTAGAGGGCTAGACCAAAGTCATCAGAACTGGACCAAAGCCATGAGGGGTAGACCAAAGCCTTGAGGGCTAGACCAAAGCCATGAGGGGTAGACCAAAGCCTTGGGGGCTAGACCAAAGCCTTGAGGGCTAGACCAAAGCCTTGAGGGCTAGACCAAAGCCATGAGGACAAGACCAAAGCCATGAGTGTAGACCAAAGCCTTGGGGGCTAGATCAAAGCCTTGAGGGCTAGACCAAAGCCTTGAGGGCTAGACCAAAGCCTTGAGGGCTAGACAAAAGCGTTGAGGGCTAGATCAAAGACTTGAGGGCTAGACCAATACCAGAAGCCACGTAGCCAGTACAACTACAAATTACAGCTAATGCAGAAGATTACTGGGCCTTTCTATAGTTGCCAATAGCAGCACCTGTCTGCTAAGTGCCCACCAGCTTGTGTACTGGACTGCCTTCTGTACTGTACATTAATCTGGCCACTGTGAAGGAGCAAAGGCAGAAACTATATCTAGCCTTTGTATAAGAGCTGGACAGGGTATGGCAGTGTAAACAATGTGGCAAGGTTGAAAGAGAAGTCAAGCGGGGTAAAAAAATTTGGAACTTGTTCCTTGCCAGTTCATAGATAACTGGTGACCCCCGCACAGCCCTGTATGTGTGTGTATATATATATATATATATATATTTACGTAGTAAGTGGAGTGGGAGGAACATTTTCGGGGATCTGTCATTTACAAGTGAACAGCAGACTCATGGGATCTGGTATTTTAGCTTTCGTATTAACATTGGTCTAACATATTTATGTGATGGCTTGAGTGGAACAGAGCACGTTGTACGAGGACGTACGCTGTGCTCAGAGAACAAGCATTTTTCCTCATCACAAGATGAAACTTTGTAAGGCTGGGTGACGGATGCATTTCTGTAGATATTTTTGAAAAAGATTACTTGACAGCCATCAATGGCCACAAATTCCAACCCAGCCCAATGTTTGTGCTCAAATTGCCAGAGCTGAAGTAAGAAAAGTAAATACGAATACTAAAATAAGTTGTGGAGAGGTCTCTGTGTCCTGCACCGTGTTAGAGTGTGGAAGGAGCTTTAATGACCACCTAAAAATGGCCAATGATACAGCGAAGATTAATCACATAGCCCTCTATAGGTGTATGATGATAGCGAGGGTCCACTTAATGGTTTCACTACCTGCACGCAGCTTTCTAAAATTGACAGCACAGAAAATTTCCACATCTCTTTTTTGGAAGGGGAATAGAAAGCATTAATCTACATATAACATATGAAGGCAGCGGAATAATTTATAGCGAGAGAGATTGGTCTGAAGTGTGATATACAGTGAAGTAGACTTTTCTTAGACTTAGGAAAATGACTTTAGCAAAACATTGGGGATCCAAAAACCGACTGACGGTGAAGGAGCGGATTGAAAAACTGAACTGCCTGATGCGTATGTAGGAACTGACAATCCCAACTATATGACCTCTACACACAATTCACATCCACCTGGGGACCTTGGATCCTCCTTTAGGATACTGCCCAATTCTAGAACTAGAACATCCCAAAACCTGCAGCTGATCTTTAAAGTGAGCAGCATAAGATAAAAGGAGGATTGCCTTTTGAAGGACATTTCTCAACCCCAATGTCACCACCACCCTCACTTTTCTTATCTTCTCTTTCTGTCCACTATTCACTCCTGTTCTATAGATTCTTCCCAGGACGAGCAGTCCCATACGTCACCCAAACATCGTGGGAAAACCTCATATTGTTCCCTTCTGAGAACATAACCCAGATATGTAGAATATGCTCTGAAGTTTACCAGGCTCACCGGGTTGATCATTCATGGTGTGTTTTATGTACCAAATCCATAGTCTGGAGGGTAAGATTTTTGTCCCTGTGGTCCATGACTCTGTCCTGAGCTTTTACTCTCCTTCTCTTTCTATATTTGTTCTATTATTGCACAGAAAATTCAAATAAATAATACATAGTCTCAAAAAAAAAAAAAATCTTTAAAAAGTGCTTCAGCAACATGCTGGGAGTTTGATGAACGGACACAATAATCATTGACATGTGGCTGTCAGGTTATTAAACTTTTAACAATCATTGATATATGTGTCGGGCATTCCATATGTATTGTGGCATCCCGCTGGTCTTACTTTCTACTGAAGTCACTCCGTCTATCCATTAAATAATAAATGGAACCATTAAAATGGAGCAATAAAAAAAAAAAAAATCAGTATAGTCCATAATTGATTATTATTACCTTTCACAAGTGAATTACGTTTGATTTACTGTTGCCTTTCCGCTCTACGTTCGCCGATAGCCAGCTCCAAGCATCCACTACTCTTTCGTCAAAGTACATTCTCATGTGTACTGACCGTTTCAGACTGTTCCCCTTACTAAAAAAAAAGCAAATCTTTCACCTATCAAGCAAGATCACATTGCTTTACAGCAGATGGAGACAATTCAGAATTGGCTTTTACTTTTTACATATGTGTTGCCATTGATGAGTAAAGAGCAGTGGAAAAGCAGCGTGCAATCGGGGGGACCTGGAGACTGTGAATGATTTGAAACAGTAAAATATTGCAGAGTGTATTCAGTATTACATTGTAGAATTAGTTTTACTCTACAAACTTGTCTCTTTTTTTTTTTTCTACCTATGTAACTATTGTTCTCATTGTCACATGAGTTTGTTGTAACTCATGTAAGATGAACGCAGACCCGACTCAGCAGAAACCTTATTAGTGAACTGCTGCATGACAAGTGCTCTTTCCTTCCTAATCACAATCCCTGCAGCTTTTTAATATTCCGCTTATTTTATAATATCCATTATTGGCT